TCATATACTTACTATTATAATTCAATTAATTAGTATAGTAATAACATAATATATATGTAGTAAGATATCTAAATGCGCCAGTAAAGGGCAGAAGCGATATGTCGACACATGCCCGCACCGCATTGCGGCAATATTCCTGTACATACATATTACGAGCCACACTCCACTCCCTTACAACGATTTATTAATAAACACAAAAAGCAACGTCGATGTTATACTAAAATAAAGATTTGTGTATCGTTAGATCTATCTATATATGTAATATTCTAATATAGAAGAAATTCTTACCATATATAGTATAAGTAGATCGTCAACTAATATTGTGTATGATAGTTCAATCTTCACGCTTCTTCACGCTTCTTCTCGTCTCTTCATTAAGAGTTCCATCTCCAGATCTCCTCGTGGTCCAGACGTCATCTCGTACGGATGCGTGCGATTATAATTAGGATTGTATTTCTGATTCCGACGATGCTCACTCTCCGACACCGCTGAATTCCATTTGAGTCATTGTGCTCGATACGTAGCCTTTATTTTGGTAAAACACTTAAACACGAGCTTCATTGTTACATATAATTTGATCAAATCATTACATTTATAATTAGAGGATCATATATGTATTGTGGTAATATTAGCAAAACGCTTGCCAGAAGTCAGAACAGGTTTCTCATAATAGACTTTACTTACACTTATCAAGAACGTATTTAAATTATAAAGGTCTTTTACCTCGTGTCTGTTCCGTTGTACTGATAACGTACAAAACCGAAACTAGTACGTCTAGAAACATACTGTTAAAACTTAAATTAACAGTAGCTTGATATGGTTATACTAAAAAACTTAATAATTTATTATATTGAACAAAGTTTAGAAAAAAAATCACGGACTAATACGTGTTTTTTTTATTATTTTCATGATAAATAATAAATAAACAAGGAAACTGCCAAAAAGTTTGTATATTTAATATTTATCTAAAACAAACATTTGTAACAAACAGATAGGCTTCAACAGGTTTAGTAATCAGCTAAATCACATTAAGTATCAGAAATAAAATAGATTGAATATAAAAAAAAACATAAAAATATAATTTACATAATTATCGAATAGACTAATATTAAAGAAAAATTACAACATAAATGTATATACTAAAAAAATTAAATATATCATATACTAATAAAAATCAGTTACTAATAAAAATCAGTGATGTCAATTGTAAAAATAATTACAAATAATGATTGTGAATGTGTGTGTGTGTGTGTGTGTGTGTGCGTGTGTGTGTGTGTGTGTGTGTGTGTGTGTGTGTGTGTGTGTGTGTGGGGCCACGCGCTGTCGACGACATATTTTCCGAGCGAAGATCAAAACAGGTTTCCAAGGAACTGCAACTTATGCCAACAGCGACTTGCTACATCGATATGTGTAACCCACTAGCGCTCTAAATTGTCTCATTAAAATAACCAATTACTTTTATATATATAAAAGAAAGTCATGTTTTTTACGCTATTTATAATTCAAGAACGGCTGTACGGATATGGTTGAAAATTGATGGAGAGATAGCTTAGAATCATAATTTAATTCTGTCCCATCAAAATAGATAAAAATACTTAATAAATTAAAATATCTGCTCATATAGAGTTATTCTTTTAGCTATACTTTGATAATACCGAAATGAACGCGAACGAAGTCGCGGGTAAAACTAGTGTTTACATGCAGATAATTTCCCAAACATATAAAGCATCATACTTTTGTGATACAATAGTACGGTAGATAATACAAGTGCGTGGTGTTCAATGTTGATATAACAGGAATGTTATCACCAAAAAAACATAATATCATCAAAATAGAAAGACGATAAGGAGATTGGTGTACATTCATGATGTACAAGACATTACAGCGCCGAAAAATACGTGTACAATACATATCTACACTCACAACTAAACAAATATAAAAAATTCATTCTAGTAACTATTTTGTTCATATACAGGGTGACTGGTGAATTACTATCAATATTTAAGGAGAATACTCGGTACATGATTCTCATTCGAATTATGTAAAAAAAATAGGCACTTAATTTTTGACAAAATTTCCGTATAAATAAGTAAAGTGTTGACACGTTCCAAGTGTTCAAGTGTGGACGCGTGCGGCGGCGTGCTGATACAACACTACGTCACGACACGCGTATGTGTGAGTGTCAGTGTATACCTAATCTGTAGGGTGTTCACACGATGCGTAATTAATTACATAACTTTTGGTTAACTTTACTTAGAAGTTTATTAAAATTTATGTTATATTAATTTTTATTTCGTCATATATGATCGTCAAATATCACGTCCTCAAATATCGATAGTAATTCACCAGTCACCCTGTATATTATACTAGCTCTCCGCCCGCGTCGAGTTCGGTTATATCGCGTTTCCAAGAGAACTTTTCAAAAGTCTGGGATAAAAACTATCCTATGTTCTTTCTCAAGGTCAACTCTATTTCTGTACCAAATTTCATTAAAATCAGTTCAGTGGTTTAGGTGTGAAAGCGTAACAGACAGACAGACAGAGTTACTTTCGCATTTATAATATTAGTAGGGATAATGAAAGTCACTCCTGAGTCCTAATTCTTACTACAAATCTCTTCTCCACACTATAAACGCAGCGTTTACCGTCTATATTCTAACCTTCGCAGATAATTTAATGTAGATTATTGAATAAACGGATAACGCGTCGTAAGTAGTTACGATAAAAACTCCTACTAAGCACTTTGGTTTCGATTGTTGAATCTCACGCGCAACAAAGAGTACTCTCGTTAAATATACTGAATGGTTATTAAATATTAATTGAGGAAAAATATTATTTTAAATATACAAAGCCTATGTCGAAAACGTTATCATTTATATAATATTCATATAAATGTTTATACTTTGAACGTTTGATTTAGTTAAATAATTTTTCCTTATTTTTTTCGTTTCACGTTATAAAAACTAAATATTCAATTATTACAATAAAATTGTATGTAATTTCTAATACATAAAGAAATTTTAATACTATTTAAATATAAAAATTTAATATTAGTTTCAGAATATTTATATATCAAAAATATTATGTATATATAATTTATTATAAATATTACAGCGATAATATTCATTACAACAGTATGTATTACGTGCTTTTATATGACCAAGTTACTATCTGGCTAATACTACGTCACATTTTTATCTCGACTGATAAGATTTTAACGCTGAACAGAATTACACACGTTCTTATAAATTATCATACGAAATGATTTAAATATAATTCTCAGGTAACGCTTTAGAGGTAACTTTTATTCGGTTAGGAGACGAACAAAAGGTATTCGTGGTAACTTAACGAGTCAAGCTATTTAGACAAAGAACTAGGGAAGCCGGGATTGTAAACAATTGATTATGTTCTTTACAAATTAAAACAACAAAAACTTATCTAGAAGTCGGGTTTTAAAGAACTGTTCATGTTGTAACAAAACTTACTTTACCAGTTGATACACGACTGATCTTGAATTTTGGCTTGAAATTATCATCAATACAACTATTACAGAAGTTTTTATTCTGATTTGGACATAATTCGATATGAAACAATTGGTTATATGTATTATAACAAAACTGTGATTACATTTCAGAATAATATTTGTATCAAATTCAATTAAATCTATAACTTATAATTCTAGGTTATTTACTTAAATATTATTTTGTTATACAATTTCGCTTACATTTTTTTGTTATTAGCAGATAACGCGTTCTTGTACAAATTTTATCCGCGGGAAAAACCGTCGACTGCAACTAGCGTACTGATGAAACAATAGTTGTGACGTAAACAGCTCACTCACAAGTGGCCGTTATCACTCATTCATTTGATGATAAAAATAAATTATAATAAGTGAAATATAAAAATTCATATAAAACTTACATTTATTTAGCTCCTTATTTCTTGATTTTTTCACAAATAATCACGTTTAAAAGGCGAGTAATTCAGAATGGTGTGAATGTATTTCATCGGGCTGAACCTGTAGCCCAATTTTGATTGATATCTCAATGTTTCGATAACCTATAACTATTGTTTACGATGACACTAGCTTCTTCATTAATTAACACGCGACAGATACTCATGACGTCACTCATTTGTTTATGGCTACTGAAATATATTTTTGAATGAAACTTACGCAAAACTATATCATTATTATGACTCTAATTCAAATTATAATAAAAATATTGCATATTAATATCTAAGTATTTTTATAAGTAATATAAAATAATATTTAATAAATTATATGAAGTAGGTGATGAACCGCTTTGCGTACGAGTGTATTATGCGCGCATCGGAACGCGGACAAGCGCATCGCTTTCCTGACTTTCCAGTGGCCAGTGGCCGACAACTTGCCGGACGAAATTATAACGTATATAAAATAAGGAAATCTATAGCGTGATCACATTATTTACTATCGCCTTTTACATTGTCAGCAGACGGGAAAGTTTACTAGTGTAATATATAGCTGTGACAATGACGAAAATGATTCTCAACGATGTAATGGTGCGGCTCGAAACAAAACGTTCGAACGATGTATAACTCAAATGGCCGTAAGTATACAGATGTGTGCAGATTATAAGGAGAACGAGGCAAGGACAGCGCTGGACGACCGAGGAGTCACTTGTCCTCTGTAGACACGAGCAGAGGCAGGTAGCCGACACAGAACATGAGCATTGTTTATACACATACATTATACTATACGACGCAGTCGCACTGAGGCGGCCGCTCGGCGCGGACGGAGCGCCCGCGAGGCGATCAGGAGAATACATACAGCGAGCGTATTACATGCCTAGAATACATTCCATACATAGATCATATACATATGATATCATATAATTCAGATCGAGTGCGAACAGAAATGAAAACGGTCGCATCGTAAATAACATTCCATGAGATGACTGCGACCGTCATAGTCTCCGCGCCGCGGCCCGCGCTCGATTGAACACCGTTACGTGAAACGAAATGTTGAGCGAGCGAGCGTGGCGGGAGAGGGGAAGGGGGTACGGAGTGAGCGGTAGCGGGACGACAACACCCGAGCACCGCCGAGGGCCGAATGCCGCGACGTGGTCGTACGGAGGGCGAGCGAGGAGCGGCGGCGGTGGCGGCGGGGCGGAGGAGGGGTGCGAGCGGGGGTGCGCCACTTTATCGCGGCGAGCTGGCAACGCCGCGCGGGGCGGTCGGCCGCGGGGCGGGACGGGGCGCGGGGGAGAGGTCCGCCAGCCGCCAGCCGCCGGCCGCCAGCCGCCAGCCAGTGTTACCTTTGACGGTGGTTGGAGCGGTCGCCGGACGGTGGGCCGTAGTGATGTCGCCGTCGGCACTCGCGCTGCACGTCTGTCATGTTGAAGTCGACTGTCGACTGTCGGGCTCGTTTGTGAACGATAACGATTATTAGCAATTACGGGATCCGTAGTGACGAGCGCGGATCGTGGATCGTGTGCCACATTACACGTTGGATTTGGATGTTACGGTTGGATTGATGGTGTGGTGACGATTCGATATTGAGACGAAACAGTGCACTTCCTAATACACGAAGGATTGCTTAGTGTTACCATTTGGATTTTTTTCACGGTGATTTTGAGTGTGGATTTTGCGACTCAATAAATGCCAGTGACTTATCGAGTTTACAGAGTGGATTTGTGTTAGTTACCGAGGTGTGTAAAATAAAAAAGTGTGAACAGAAAAATAATTTGCATCTTGAAAATGAAAAAAAAATATGATCAAATTATTTCGATCAAAAATAAATTACAAATAATCCATTGTAGTATTTTACTACGATGAGATTTGCTACAGCTGATTGAAGAGAGATGGCAAACTTCGAAACGTTCATCGTAGATTGAAAAAAGATAACGAAACACATAAACGAAAAATATTCTCACTTAGAAAATAAATATTAAAAGTTATATTTTGTGAGTGCATTTAGTTGTAAAAGTAAAATTCGCGTCTTATTTAGTGAACGCGCAACGATGAACGCTTCGGATGTTGACTGTTGACGTTACAAGTCTGAAAACGAAGCACAAACAATCAACGGACGACTGAGAGCGGACAAAAAATAACAAAAATACATTTTGTTATCGACGGTCCTGATGACAGAAATGCATCGTGTTTCAGGGGGTGCGTTAAGGCTGCAGGACGGCGTACACAACTAACACGAGTGGCTACCAGGCACAGAATTACGGTTACTCTGATAGGCAGCAACATAACATAGGACACAGGGGAAACGCGCCAAGGTAAGTACTGTACAAACACACAGAAACTTACAGCCTTGTGTACAAACGAACATAAAACTAGCATTATATATGTCAAGTACGCGGTCCTTTTAATCTGTTCATTGATTAGATTATCTGACAGGTGACCTCTATCTAAACTCTCCTGATTCAGTTTACGTATCGTATAATGATAATCGATAGGGAACTTCGTTAATATTAATTTCGCGCTACGTACGGTCACGTACACGTAAATAAACACGGACTGCAAATAACGGGTGTCATACAGCGATTACAGATGTTCAAGGTGTCGCTGTAGCATTGAAGGCGATGGAAACTGTTCAATCTTACAATCAGTACTATCTTATACGGAACCAGTTTGTTTACATTTCTACTAAAACAGGAGTCTGTTTTTGTCTTATCGATAATAACGTGTTAAACAAAATATAATAGCTCGAAAAAATAAAACAAATATTGAAGTTTAAAAGTAAATATTTAAAACTAATTGTTTAATATTCAAGCGTAATTTAATTTAAACCCTCTAATAATCTAAGAGCTCCTTAAACAATACAAATGTAACGACGTGAAGCGCGATGCACATCGCTGCAATTATAATGAAAGAAATGAAAATGTGCTCCATTCACACGCACAAACGCTTTCGGCACCCTGCACACACACACGCACACCGCACACACACACGCGCAGGGACCGCGCGCACACACACACAGCCGCGCACGCACACTAGCGCAGCGGCTCACTCACACAGACGCGCGCTGGGAATGCAAGCGGTGACTGCACTTTAGCTCTTACAATAAACACAAACAAACAATACATTAACACACTGAGCGCATCGAATAGTTGAAGGCTCATTAAAACAATTTTACTGCCTTTACATATCGGTTATCATTTTTATGTAACCGATGGAAACCGATCGGACGATTTACAAAAACCATTTACAACAAATTAAGTTACTATGGAGCCGTTAAACACTCAACGGACCGATACGCATTATTATTTTTAATTCTGGCACCTTTTTTTTTTTATTTAAAAAAATAACAGATTTAAATGCAACCGTCTTTATAAAGGGCATTCCAGAAACTAACGAATTTTACTTGGTATTTAGTCAGAAATGTTAGTGACAATTATGTGTTAATAATAACTAAATACAGTTAAGTAGCCGTGGGAAACAAACGAGCGTTCGTCCCGGGGGTGGGCAGGCGGATCACTGGCTTTAAAAATGACTTCGCTTCATGCTTTAAGAACCCGATAACCATTAAATTAACATACGTCAGTCACTTATCATAAGAGATACTTTAATTGAACCGGTTTAAAGTGATCAATGTGCGAATTAATCCAAACATGAAAACAAACAATGATTGCTGTAAAGAATTATATAGAGGTGAGCGGGCTGCGCGCTGAGCCCACTTACCCTAAGCTACCGGCCACCCTTCCCGTTCATTGTGTCTCCCCAGAAGGCCGCTCCAACCTAACCCCCGGAATTTGCTCCTTGAAGCATGATTCATTCTCCCGACCCGACCGTCAATTGACAACAATGAGATAAAAATCGATCAAACATTCTAATATTCGCGTCAACTACAGCATATTAAACAATACGAATACGCTCTAACACTATACTCTATGATACGACAATAGTCACGTTAAACATCGTTATCGGAACACGCTTGGTTTTTGCAAACAAAAAATAATCGATTTATTGATATTGTGATATCGCGATGACATGAAGCTCGCGCTAGGAACGGATTTCAATTGAAGCTTCCAAACAGTGAGCGAATAGCGCTCACGAGATATTTATACTTCCCGTGATGGATTCATTCTGGAAGCAAGTCTTGAGCGTCCTTATTTACACCGATACGTTCGATATAAAATGTTCGAAACTGTTCGTTTCTGTCGTAACGTCATCGTATTATGACGGCCCTGCGCGAGCCGAGCCACAATTTGAAGTGGCGTTTTAATGAGGGCGACCAACTGTCGACTCAACGGGGGTGAACACGGCTTCACGCGATTGTCATCTATACGAGGCTCGTAATTATTAATACCTTATTTAATATCGTATCGTACATCGAAAACAATCTGTTAACAAGCCACGGAGCGTCGTTACGTGTTGTCATACACTTCACGGTCATGCTAAGTGTTGGTTTCAGATTCTTCATTAAATAAAACGGACTAATGTTTAAGATATCGATCGAGCACGTGATTGTCACTAGTGCCAATTAGCTAAGAATTCACCACGTCTGCGCAACAATCTAAAATTAACTGCAGCCTATGTATCAAAATACCTACACGTTACTCGCCCATCTCTCAATAGTATGCCAAACACCTTCCAGCCTCTCGGAATAGAATCATAGTCATTCACAAATTGATTTATATCACACTAAACACTGGCCCTTACTCGCTCAGGGAGATCAAAGACTCTGGATCACGAACGGTCGCAGGCGGCGCTCGGCTGTTGGGATTACGAAATAAATTAACACGGCCAATAAAAAACAGTCATCGCCATATAAAATATATTTAGAAAGTCAGCGGTCGAACTTAAGACAATGACGGAGTATCAGTGAGCCGGTACTCGGTGAGGTGTTTGTAAAAAAATATTCCACGAAAATGATCAAAAGAAATGCCAAAACCGACCGTTCCCTTTCAAGACCCCAAATATTTTGAGCAGAGCGTAAGTGATTATTCGGATGTGGTACCTCCGTACGAAAAAAACTATCAGGATGCAGAACACTTTGGATTTTTTGTCGGTCGAGTTCTGTTCGGCAAAAGGAAAAAGTCTCAGACGTATCTATAAAAAGACGTGTATCTCGGGCCGAGTTTACCTAAGGAAGGACCCTTGTAAATCATCTGCAGTGTGGATGTATTGTGTCGAGATGAGATGCGATGAGCGCTGTTGACTCGCATGTTTATTGGCTGCCGACGGCACTAAGTATCTGTTAAGCTATTTATTTACAACAATACTTAAGTGCCAATTCGATATCAAAGCTATAACTTATGTAAACTAAACGAAGCGTCGGATCGGCCGCGGTTTCATTTAGGAAGAAATATTTGTAATGACTCAATTGTTTTTTGAATGTAATTTTTGTTTTGGGCCCTACATCTGTCAGCGAGCTAACAAACAAAATTAGTTCCCATATTGTTTTTGTGTGAGTTTGTATTCATAAAAAAATAGACGGAATCACAATAGTCCACATTGTTGCACTACTACAGGAGCGCGGGTAACAATGAACCCGTGCGAGTGTTTGTCGGCCATTTGTCGAATGGGAATTATTAGGAAGGGCTCCGGGGAGGCTCAGGCTCGGGAATTCGCCCCAAAAGCAGTTCACATGAAACGTTCTCCCACTCCGGCGCCACACAAAAAATCAAACACATCCCGAGTGAAACACAGGGGTAACAACGCCTCGCTCTTTATACAAGAACATATTGATTTTTTTCTCTCATTGTTCATAAAATAATAAAATCTCTGTGCACATAAAAGAAGATCTTGCGCTGATAAAATTTGAGTCGAATATCGTATCCGAGTACGTTATTAATCGATGCGTTAACGTGATGAATGTAAAATGTAATAGTTTGAGGCGAGGCCACTCTTGATATAATAGAAACTAGTCACTGGTCGTACGTGAAATAAACTTAACGAGAATTTATTTTGCATAATCGGTGAAATCGTTTTAGCACGAACCACCGACGGTCATAAAAATAACAATCACTTTTCATACGCAAATAACAAACGAGAATTATAAATACATATTATTTTTATACTACGATTAGTTCCGACGCGGCGATAGAAACCCACAAAGTTATATACCCTGTTTATATACATGATATATATGTCATCCATGTGTACACTGTACAGTATTAATGTATGTGTGTTGGTCGGTACAGCGGCTATGGGTGCCCCGGCGGAGCGGGCGCGATGAGCGGCGGAGGCGAGAACGCGCAGTTCGGCGCCACCGCCGCGATGGTCGCCGCGGCCACCACGGCCGCGATGCAGGACTCGCAGCCCTTCTCGCAGGTAAAACTACACAAGTAGCTAGCTTGTGTCCCTATACCCAATATGTAATCTAAAATTATTCGAATCGTAACATTATAAAATTTCTACATTCCAGATGCAAAACAACATGACGATGGGAAATCCCCAGTACAGTGCGATGAATGGCTACGGTCAACAACGGAGCCACAACCCCGCGATGACGGGAATGGGGATGGGGGGTAACGGCGGGATGAACGGAATGACCGGCATGGGACAGATGGGGAACGCCATGACCGGCATGAACCCTATGGCTCAGATGGCCAACATGGGCATGCACGCGAACATGATCTCCTCACAGATGGGACCCGGACAAATGGGCAACTCCGCGAAGATGGGCCCTGGCTACCAGAGGCGGCACACGCCCTACCCTTCAGGGACGATGATTATGGGCTCCCGAAAGACTCAGTACATGGGCGGACAACCCGGCTTCGGCCCGGCGCCCGCTCAGTATCAAACGGGTTACGGCCGACCGGCCTTCCAGGGTCAATACCCTCCGCAGCAGCCGCTCGGAGCCAGCGGGAACTTCGGCTCGGGTATGAGAGGCACCATGAGACAGTCGACTCCGCCTTACTCCAACCAGGGCCAGTATTTTAACGGAGGAGTTCCCAACCAGTTCCCTCAGCACCAGGCGGGTAGTGGTCAGTACGGCGCGCAGTACGGAGGTCAGTTCGCGCAGGAGGTGGCCATGAGGTCCAACATGAGCTACCAGCACAGTCCGGTGCCCGGGAACCCCACGCCGCCTCTCACGCCCGCCAGCAGCATGCCGCCTTACATCAGCCCCAACGCTGACGTCAAACCTCACTTTAACGAGCTCAAACCACCGATGGGCATGCAGAGTAAGTTCATAACTCAAACTCAAATAACTTTATTCAATATAGAAGCATTACACTTTCTTATTGATGGTCACTTGAGACACTACCACCGGTTCGAAAAAGAAAATACCCTGACCTGAGAAGAACCGGCGAAAGAAACTCAGCGGGTTTTTTTATATATCTTAAGGAATACATATACTTCCCGCTAATATATATTTTATTGTAAACCTTTCTAATAGTCACAATTCTCTGATTACAGATGACGAGCTCCGGTTAACATTCCCCGTAAGAGATGGTATCATATTACCACCTTTTAGATTAGAACATAATTTAGCAGTTAGCAATCACGTATTCCAATTAAAGCCTACGGTACATTCAACATTAATATGGAGGTGAATATCGAGATCGAATATATGGAAACTATTGATAGTATCTTAATATATATAAACTAATGTGAATATAATTATGTATCAGATCTGATCTGGAGCTGCAACTCAAGTGTTTTCATCACGAGGACAGACAGATGAACACCAACTGGCCGGCGAGCGTGCAAGTATCAGTGAACGCTACGCCGCTAGTCATCGATCGAGGAGAGAACAAGACGTCGCACAAACCGCTGTACCTGAAGGAAGTCTGTCAGCCCGGACGAAACACTATACAGATCACCGTGTCCGCGTGCTGCTGTGTAAGATATACATACACCAACTATATACATATAAACTACTCAAAAATGATGAAGTTTGTACTAATTGTAATGTTCCTTCCAGTCGCATCTCTTCGTATTACAATTAGTCCACCGGCCGAGTGTGAGGAGCGTGCTGCAAGGATTACTGAGGAAGCGATTATTAACCGCGGACCACTGTATCGCTAAGATCAAGATGAACTTCAACCAATCCCCGGCACAGAACAACAGCTCGAACGCTCCAAGTGATAGAGACAGTGTGGAGCAAACGGCACTTAAAGTGTCGCTGAAATGTCCGATAACGTTTAAAAAGATCACCCTCCCGGCGCGGGGACACGAGTGTAAACACATACAGTGCTTCGACTTGGAGTCATACCTGCAACTGAACTGTGAGAGAGGATCGTGGAGGTGTCCGGTCTGCAAGTAAGTTCACACTAGCTCATTACAAATATTAAAATTTTATGTTACATGTTTATCCGCGATGGACTCCTAAACTACTAAACCGATTTTAAATTTGATTTGCATTGCATGTACATTTTGATCCAATTTGAAAGATAGGATAGCTTACATCTCAATTTATAGTCACAATATTATTTTATTGCAAATTATTTGTCTATTAAAGAAAATTATTTGTCATTATTACAATTATCTCTTGACTGAATTAAGTATTCAATAGATGGCGCTATGTTAAAAATACAAATGTCATATACATATGAGCGACTATTTAATAATATTATAACCACCACGTGTTTCTGAGGATAAAGTATAAGCTAAATTTATTTATTAAAAAAACGTAACAGATATTTCTTGATTATAGAGCGATACGAAGTTGGCCGGGTCTCCTAGTTACATATAAAATACGCTCAGTTATTAACAATGACATTATTTACAGTAAACCAGCTCAGCTGGAAGGATTAGAAGTGGATCAGTACATGTGGGGCATCCTGAATACATTGAACACGTCGGACGTCGACGAAGTCACCATCGACAGTGGCGCCAACTGGAAAGCTACAAAGATATCCGCTAACCCTGGCATTAAGGTACACAAACACACAACACGCAAGAAAAAGTATTTTATTTTATTTACGATTCACACAACAGATTATAACTAAACATGCAAATAATTGATGAATAAACATTATAAATGAGCTGAGTTATAACCCAACAACTATGCGAATACAGATTATATACTAAATATTTCACTTAAAAAAATACATCAGGACTTAAAAATACATTGAAAACACACTTATTATTAATAGAAAGAGTTTTACACAGAAAAATATGAACAGGTTACAGCAATCAAAATATAATGAAAAGTAAAATGAAATTATAAACTAGGGAACTGATGAAGTGAGGAACTAAACCTTATTATATGCCCGATACATACGTCCGATAGGCTTGTGATATATGTTGTTATTGTAAACATCCAGGGTAAATATTCCGATATTAACAATGTTTTGTATAACAGCAAGAAGACGACAGCAACGACAACAGTGGCAAGAGAAGCAAAGCGGTGTCCCCGGGCTCTATGAACATGCCCACTATGAACAACTGGGACATGAACCAAGCTCTTTCACCCTACCTACCGCCCGACATGAACACCATCGCCAGCGGGTCCATGATCTCATACAACCAGGGAGGACAGAACAGGAACTCCGGGTCCAGCAACAACAACTACGACTTCGGACCCAACAGCAACGAGTTCGCCGGCAACGGACCACTCGCTCACCTCAACGACAGTGTGAACTCACTCGACCCGCTCAACGCTATGGAGAAGAGTCTTAACGAACAGGTATATATATAGAAATCACAAAACGATACTCAGATTTTAAATTGCTCGATATTTGGTATGTATGTATCTATACAATAGATATAATACAGTAAAAAGTATCTAAAAGTAAAAAGTATCTAAAATGTGTATGTATGTCTTATTTTAACTTAAACTGGTAAATAGTTTTGGCTATCTCTGACTTTGGTATGGATAATGAAAAAATTCCTATATCCTTAAATTAATGCTAAATCGATGTATTAGCTCTCTTCTTTCGAACACATTCCACAAGAAAATGATGTATGTCATCCTGAATTACTCATAACCTTTGAGTACATGTGTTATGATGTTCCAGATGCCGCACACGCCCCACACGCCTCACACGCCGGGGTCCGCGCACACCCCGGGGGGAGGCGCGACCCCGGGCTCCAGTCACACGGGCCCCCCCTCAGTGGACCGGCACCCCCTCACTGACGTCGACATCCCCGCTGACCTCAACTTCGACCCCGCAGCGGTCATCGACGGAGAGGGCACCGACAACCTGAATGTGAGTCTCACTAATACAATACTATGTAACAAACAGACTAGAATAATCTTAGGAACGTTCAGTATTACCTTTATTATGAGTACATATAGTTTTTTTTATGAGAAAATGTCAAACTAACAGACGGCATTACACTTTCTTATTGGGAATAAGGAAAATACAACCGTCTCTCTCACTCATCGAACGACCTATAAAGGCTACTTGTTACCGATGTGTGTGTCTACAGTATGTGTGTGTAATGTGTATGTGTGTGTGTGCAGCTGCTGCCGGAGACCAGCGTGGACCCGATGGAGCTGCTGTCGTACCTGGAGGCGCCGGCGCTGGGCGAGCTGCTGGCCACGCCGCCCTCCTCCTCCTCGTCGGCCGGCAGCCTGGCGCCGCGCGCGCCCTCCTCCGACGACCTGCTGGCGCTCTTCGACTGATTGTGATACTAGACTAGTTCCTGACACCGACCTCCGCGTCACGTGTACAGTAACCGATTGTAAATAATGACAGAGTTTATTTTATTGATGTTTGTTACGACTGTACATATAGAGGTCGCCGGGGTCCGCGGGCGGGGAGGGGGGCGCGCGGATCTTATAGTTCCTATTAAAGCGAGTGAACTATATCGTTCAATTGCCTAATAATGTTTAATATTCCTCGACGTCTTCGCATGTTCTGCATTTTTAAATCGTAAGATATAGATGACTCGCTTCTTGGGTGATATATTGTAAATGAATCGTCTCGCTGACGAGATGTATATGTGTGTGCGGACACGACCTCTGTTAAATTATTTTGCGTTATGTGAAACGAAGAATGATACAAATATATTTTGATTTCTATAAAAAAAAAAAGATTAATGAACTGTATTATTTGTAAATAAGAATCTAGCTAAGTATATTATATTATCTAGTTATAACTAGGAAAACATGGCAGATACTTATACGACGGCCAGTCTTAGCGTAGTACCTATTACTAAATTAAAATCTACACATGGTTTTACATGTACATAGAAGTTACGGACACCACATGGCGGGGCGCGGGCTCGGTGACGTCTCATCGTTTTCTAGTGAAATTTATTAATGAAATAATAGAATAATGTAACTCGACCCATCACAATCAATGTACCAAACCCTCTTCCGAGCGCGCGGCCCGCTCTCTCTCATACATATTTCCAGGTTGTTTGTATATTAGTAGTCTCTCTCAATCTATGCTCATCCTGATTCCTCGCGAGTACTCGCGCACCGTCGAAACAGAGCAATAAACGATAGATTCAGATATTATTATCACTAGTTGTTTAAATCATAGTTATATGGATTGTTGATTAACTGAACACAAAATTGCGATGAGCATTGCATTGACGACATCTTGTTTCACGTATTTTCAAATGAATGGTTTTTATTTTTGAACACGAATACTTCCAATGAACCTAAATGGAATTAAGTTCCCGTTAACGATCACTCGACATGTATCAGATCTCGTGTGATAATGGATACTTGCGGATCATTCAAATGAGTCATCAGTTAAATTGATTGTATGTAAACTGTTCACTAACTGTTTGTAATAAAGGTAATGTTTTGTTATCGTTCACTTCACGACCCTAGTGTTAGTCTATTAAAGAGACAGTAACATGTTAAGCTTGCTCCGCGGCCCCGGCTTCGGTGGTCGCGGCTTTTAACTATAAAATACATACTTATAAGGGACCTTCAATTCCACTTAGCTAGTGCTATTTATGGTAGATTGTCGCCATTGGATGAATCACGTCGATTTTTGTGAGACCAATTAATGAAGAAAATTTTCTACAATTTTACCTCTGTAGGGTAAATCAAATTTGTTTTTATAAAAAATAATAAATATAATAAAAAATATAGTAGCATATCACGTATAGAAAACAAGAATCAGATCGAAGGATTCATCCAAGAGGGTGAGTTACGATATGTTCTGTTGAGTGTATGGAGCGAGGTGACGAAGCATTTGGAAATAAGTGAATAAAGAGAATTGAGGAACCGGCTGAACCTACCGTAGATTAACTTCAATTTAAAACATTTTAATAATCTGGTTGATGAAATTAATTTCAAATGTGTAAAATGGGAAAAAAAACACATAACATTTTTATGTTATTGAAAATAAAATGAATCTAAAAAAATATTAAGCAATGACTTTTATTTTCGGATTTGTTTCACCAGGAATCTTAATATTGGAGGGTGGCTATTTTGAAGTGAATTTTTGCCACTTCTTAATACTTCGAAATAAAAACATATGACTACAGAGACATATATTATTTATCTTACTTCAGATACAGGGTGTATCCATAGACCCTTTGATGTGTATTGTGTTAATCTATGAAAAATATTTTCACAATACACTACAGTACTTAGCAGAAGTTTCTATAGTCACTACTTACGTAGCGTTTCCCGTTTCTCAATCCATTACCTATAATAATACTGTTCGAAGATTCATGAATGGAAAACTGTCAACGCTCAATAAGTAGTGTGACGATACTCAATGATAGTAAGCGTAACGCTAACTCATACTAAAATATGTATATTTAATTTCCCTTGAGATTTTTTCATTTAAATCAGCTAAATATTTTCAAATATAACTTTTTTTGTAGCTAGTCGTTGTTTGATCATAAATTATACGATATTTTGAAATAAATAATTTAATGCCTGAGCTCTTGTATTAAAGGTACACTCTTACGAATGGACGAATTTTGCAACATTAATTTTATAAATTCGATATATTAACAATAAAGATATACGCTAAATAAAAGTAGATGACGTTTAAAAGTTTTCATAAGATATTTAAACTAGCAACACCTATGAATAAGCAGATCATTACTAATATGTAGATTTATATTAGTAGATGAGTTTTTCTTTATTATTCTAACCCATTTGTATCGTTCCAGAACGGGAGCACTTATTTAAAGAGTAGTGAAAAGTAATATTTATGACGCATTTTATTACAGTATTGGAAACTAACAAATGGTTATTTTTAATTTAACTCGTGTGAGGTTATTTGTACGTTCTTCCTGAATCATTTCGAAATCGGCTTTATGTGCATTGCCATTTATAGGGCAACTGGGAAACATAATAAGTGACGTCATGCCTACATATTTAAATATTTTTATTAAGTTTCTTCATTTCCAGATAATATGTACAAGTGTTACCAGTATTTGTGCAAAAGATGCAATCTCATTTTAAGTGTCAATTCAATCACAGTAACGTCACATTTCAGAAAACTAATTTCACAATGAGGCTAACGAAATTTGGTACTATAAAAAATGAATTTAAGTAAGAAATAATAACTTTAAATATGTCTTGTCTGTAATTTCTCCTGAACTTACTATAATACTTTGATATTTTTGGTCTCTACAAATTATTTAAATGTCGTGACATAACCAGAAAACAAAAACAAAATGTTATTATTGAGGACATATTTGTGATAAATTTTGAGACGAATATATTAAAAATCATTGACCTTTCTAAGATGCATTGACCTCAAAATGTATTGCAATTTAAATACGTCTTTTCCACTAAAGGCTCTGTTATTTAGATTCTTACTAAGTATACTGTAGATTATTTTGCTTTTCTGCAAACGACTTTCAGAAAACAACTATATATTTGTGTATGAATAATATCATAATACATTCTTGTGATATTTAGCGATCATTCGACATTGAACAGTCTCAACATTAACTCAATAAATTTACCATAACACACGACACTGATTGGTTCCGGTACCTGCAGATAAAACAGTTGGCGATAACACGCTTACAATTTAAATAAGCTTAATGAGTGTGTGAATCTAATGCTACATAATGTAGAAAAAGAATTTATATTATAGATTATGTTTTAGAACTTGGAATGGCTTCTTAACTTTCCTCGAAATTATAGAAGATTGCTCTTTGTATTTTGTTTCTTCCTGAAATCCAATGGTTTGAATGTCAAAATTCAGTTTGTGTTAAGTCCATCTCAAATAGTTTTTGTATTAAATGTGATGTATTTAATTATTTTTCGTAATATTCATAGCAGACTACGACAATAAATTTTTGTGTTATATCCTTTTATAATTCTCAATATATGGTATGATTTACCAAATTTTAATACGAATAAAGTTTTCTTTATGTAGATTATATTTTGGAACATAATAAGATTTTATATAGCAATGATTGTCTTCAAGAAATTTTCTATCGTTTTTTTTTTCTTTGATAAATATATGGCCAGTGAAATGTATTAATGACCAAATAGCTAATGTGTTTTCTTAAAAAACTGAACACAGTATATAGGGATAGGTATAAAAGAGGTACACAAGGATATGAGTCTTATTCAAATTATTCAGGTTATATTTTGGGAGTAGTTTATCTATTGACCCTACATTGGTGATCTAAATTGTCCTGGAATCCAACCACATGCATTCCAAAGAACTAAACCATTAAAAGGATACACTTATTCGTAGCTTTGGCAAAAGTTTTTTTCCATATGTTATAAGTTATCGTCTTTATTTACTTCTCTAATTATTATTAAATGAGATTTTGAATTAGGATTAAATAGATGTAAAAATTAGTGTTCGTATTATATAATTTTCGTATTACGACTAAAGTTAGTGTGGTTATATTTCTGCTGTATGAGGTAATTGATTTTAGCTTGAAGAAGCCGTGTAACGTCTTTGAAATTGGTGTCATAGTATCAAATATAGACCGTAGTTCTAGAATAACACTCCCAATGATACAACAGTAAGGGTATTGTGAATGTGTTCTAGAATTTTATAGAAGTTACATTTAAAACTGAATTTATTTTATCTTCCTGGCATCAGTGTAGTGAATAAGGTCACTTCCCTTAAAGTAAAGAACACATACAGGCCTCAAAGAGAAAGAAATTAACTGGTTAAATGTGATAGAAGCAAAATATTAAACATTATCTCAAATACGATTCAGCATAAGTACAATACATGATAATAAAGAAACTTTCACAGCAATTAAACTTTAGTGTCTAAGATATAAGATAGGCGAAGATAAAGGTACTTTTGAAATGATTCCCACTTGATTACGTGGAGTAATACTTTTGTTGTCTTTGATATTAAATTGACAACAAGACAGTGTTGATATGTTGTTTGTTTCCTTAATTTCAAAACTCCACGCCTTACATCCTTGTGGCTAACATTTTGGCTCTTTTACGTATTTAAGTGATGGTTTGCGTCATGGTTATTTGTTTATAGCTTTTAAGTTTTATATTAATTTTCCCTACAATGAAAATATGTGTCATCCAGGAATATTAGGAGTACAATAATACCCCGCTTAACGCGACCCCGTTATACGCGGTTTCACTATAACGCGAATTTCAATAATTTATTCAGATTTGGACATATTGCAGAGTATAGATAATAATGAAGACCGCGCCTTGACCGTGTGTCAAACGATTAAAAACAGTGTTGGGTGTTATGA